TATTTGTATTCTATTATATTTAGAATTATAAAATTATATTTTTTTATTAATTATTTCTTTTATTTGTACTTTTTATATATTATAATACTTTACTAATTGCTTATATTAATGTAGATGACTTCAGGTGACGATCCTCCTTGTAAATTATTTGCCTCAAAGTTCCGTCGGAAGAAGTTGAGTGTTACTCCCAGCATAGCCAGACAGCCTGATGAAGGTGAGGGGCCTTCAGTTCCACCGGTTCTACCTACACCAGCACCACCCAGGAGCCAGCAGCAGTCCCCGAGTGAGCAAGGTCAGGGTCAGTCAGATCCACCTGCTATTGTACCACTATCCTTCCCTGGCTACTTCCCTCCTCCCTCGACGAGTCCTCACTTTTCCTCTCCAGATCAGGCACATGCTGCTCCATTCTATCCATATTACCCCCCACTATCATCACAGGCAGCAGGTCAATCCACTGGTCCTCATCCTCCTTACCCCTACCCATATTATTACCCATATCCGGTGCAGCCAGAACACGGTGGACCATCTAGACCAGCAGAGGTTGGCGCTTGGGATCATGCAGCTGCAACAGATAAGCGTCAATACATTGAGCCTGAGGGTGATAAGTAAGTTCAGTTTATGTTTTTAAGTTGATTATATTTTGATATATTTTATGTTATTGAATAAAAAATTAACCTGCAGCTTCAATCCTTCAAGGCCACCTACACACAAGATCTGAGATATTAGAAAGAACAAACATGATGTTCCTTACTTATCCTGAAAGAAGATCCCAAAGGAGGTTAGGGATATGTGATTTGGAGAATTTCAGGTATACTTATTTAGTATGAATTAAAATATTTGATTTAATTTGTACTAATCTTTTTGGTTATGCCTAAATTTTTTACATAAAAAATTTAGGTGGTTGCCTGAGCATAGCACGAGGATCAGAACTAATTTTGAGAGGAGAGGAGCGACCCATCTCATGTTCATGTTCACAGACATTAGAAAGTCCGGGTAGCGTCCAATATGGATTGGAGAGGGCGTATGGGCTTATCTGAGTAGAGCTTGGGCGACCCCTGAGTTCACAAAAATAAGAAAGCAGAATAAGCATAACAGAGCCTATGATTGTGGAGGTTTAGGAAGCTCTCTTCATACTAGTGGATTTGTTCCTCATATGAAACATAGACGATGACTGGTAAGAGTTTTAAATTAGTTTATTAAATATATTTATGCTATTATAACTATATCTTATATTTTCAAAAAGAGTGCCTTGGTCGGGAGCCAATACCGCTGGAGTTGCATACAAGAACTCATCAACATCAAGCTGACCATCAGTGGGTTGATGAAAAGGCTAAGAAGGCTCATGTGAGTATAATTTTTTAGAGTTTGGGAATATAAATTTATTCTAATAAAACTAATTGTAATATCAATATATTTTATGGATGTATTCTCGCAGGATGATTTTGTACGAGCTCAAGAAAGTCGGCAGTCCATTGGTGAGGGATCAGCTTCAGGATCGATCCAGATTTTTGAGTATCATACATGATCAGATGTTGTTGGAGGAAGATAAGGGGTAGGGTATATGGCTTGGGATCACAAGAATATGCTTATGAGGGCAGTTCATCCACCTTAGCATTTTATGATCCAAGTGGAGCTAAAGAAACTGTAAGCCAGAGAGTTGCAGTGCTGACTAGAGAGATTAAAGAGATGAGAAAGGTTCAAAATGAAATGCAAGCAGAGCTGCGATCCTACAAACAGATGAAAGCCAAAGGAAGAAAGAGCAAGAGACAGAGCAGCCACATGCATCTCCAAACAGCGAGGATACGGACGATGGTTAGCACTTTTTATGTTTGATGAACTTATGATGATTTGATTGTAAAGTTATTTGGCTGAACTTATTGAACTTAGAACTTTGGTTTGATGAACTTTGGTTGAATTAAGAAATCTGATTGTATTTATTGAAATGTTTGGTTGAAATTATGAATACTTTTTTGATAATTGTTGTGATGAATTATAGTGGCGTGTTGCCCAAAATTATGTTATTATTTTTTGTGCAGGTTTAGAGTTTAGGGTGAACCTTCCTCAAATAGAGGAGAGGCTGTCATTTTTTTTTCATGTGCTACAGGTTTCCGGCGGCTAACCAACGATTTTGCCACAGGAAATGACGATACCGGACGATTGATTGACGCCGCCGAAAATGTACTAGAACCGCCAGTACATTCCGACGGTCTACTGACGGTCACCAGCGGTTGTCCGGCTACATGCCGGCGGCTTTAACCACCGGCAATGTCGTCGGCTCTAACCGCCGGTAGTTTACCGACGGTTGTTCGGTGACATGCCGGCGACTACAACCGTCGGCAATTCTATCAGCATGAACCGTCGGTTAGCCATCGGTAACTTGTCCGGCAGTTGGACGGACGGAAAGCCGCTGGTAACAACTCCAGTGATAACCGGCGGCATACACCGCCGAAAAGACGTCGGTGAAAAAAACCGCCGGAAAAACCTGTAGGCAACGGTTTCCAACGCCATTTTTTCCGACGGCTTAATAACCGCCTAAAAGCCGCCGATGTTTTCAGAACCGCCGGTAATACCAGGTAAACTGCCGAAAAAAACTGCCGGTAATAGCTGAATTTCCTGTAGTGGTAGACCCTAGAGATATGTCTAATCAATATTCAATTGGTAGAACATGAATCGAGGGTCATTTTTTGACTGGGCTTTGAAGTGTTTGAAAAATCACAGGAAAATGCTTTCAGGACAGGGCCTTTAAACCATGGATTTTGGTCTAGATTTTTGGATTTGATTTGGATTTTTGGTTTGAATGATTAGAATTGAATTATACATGTCAATTATAATCAATTATATGATTAAAAATTGATTGAATATGATTGAAATTTAATTGAAGGTTGGATTGAAGAAAGAATTATGGGTTGATTTAGGTTTGCATGGAGTTGACTAGGCCTGGAGTCTGGGTTGGTTTGAAGTTTGGATTTGATTTGAAGCTAGATTGATATAAGATCTGGGATGATCCTAGGGTCTTGATAGATCCAAAGATCGAGATAAATCTTAGGGTCTAGATTGATCCTACAGTTTAGATAGATCCTAGGGTGGTCCTAGTGACCTTATTAAAAAATGAGGTCAACACTCTAGCACAACTTTTCTCTACAAAAAGTATACTTTTCTTTCTTGGATTTAGATCTCCCTCTATTAGGATTTCCCTCTAAAAACCTTCCTCCTACTTCAGCATTTAGAGGAAATTTTGAAGATTCACCGTTTTCCCTCCTACGACCCTCTTCATTAAGCACTAACCCCAGAATGTCCTCAAAGATCAGCTTTGAACTTCTAAAATAGTTACTTACAGTAGTAACAAGCCCATCCCAACTTTCTGGCAATGAAGATAACAACAGGAATGACCTCTCCTCATCATCAAAATTGATGCCATAAAGTGTTAAGATTATTTAGGTGTTCTGCCATTAAGGGATTGTCCAGCATCTTCATATTGAATAACTTCTTTATCAAGAACACTTTTTTTAGGTTGTTGATTTCTCATACATCTTGGTTAGTGTAGCCATGAGATCGATTGTAGTCTCTCATTTACAATATTAATACTACATATGGAAAAAGTAAAAGTCATATCAAACCTAGTGTAGTTCGGTTAAGAACCTCCCATTCCTCCATGGTCATAGTATTTGGCTTCTTGGTGATTCCTTCCAACGGTAAATACAACTTCTTCTGATACAACAAATCTTTAATTTGCATTTCCAGAATGTGAAGTTCAAACCATTGAAGTTTTCAATCTTATACCTTGCTTCATGTTACATTACTCCCACTCAATCTGAAGAATCATGCTCTAATACCACTTATGGGGGGAGATGAGGAGTAAACACCATAATGACAAAACACACAAGAAAGTAAAAGCAGTGGAAAAGTAAATGACACCAGGATTTAATGTGGAAAAATTCAAAATAGGGAAAAATCACGAAGCCAAACCACACCATGAAATCCACTATGAAAATTGGGAGAAATAAGTATAGATATATCTTCTATCTCGCTCTCTCCTTATTTCTCTTCTCACATGCACAGTTCTCACACTTGTCCTAACTAAAAATAAAAGAGAAAGCCAAGTAAAATAACTCAAAGGGATGCAACCTTCAAAAAACGAGAAAGAAAACCGTCTAGTTCGCCTCGCAACACAGTGACACCAGTTTAGGGTGCTCGAGCCTCTTGTCTTCAACCGCTACAGTGCCATATTTAGGCCGTTGTGGTGCTCTACTATCTGTCATTCAGCACTGGGGCGCTTGGAAATACAGCGTCGGGGACCTCGGGTATGTAGCACTGAGGCGCTTGAGTATGCATTGCCGGGGCTCTCGGGTACACGCACTAGGCATTGTACGAAAAAACAATTTTCGATTGCAAAGCAATGGTAAACCCCCCACACCCCTCAGTGTACACGACAAGCTTTGAGATCCGATACAACAAAATAACAAGATTGATCGACACAATCAGAATTCGCACAAAACATTTCGTTTTGCTCCTATTCAAAATCTCTAGAACGTAGAGGACAAAGAAGAGATGTAGAAGATGCAAATAGCATACCGGACTAGTAATATGTGAAGGCCAATTATTGACAAACTTCGCAAGGGACTGGCAGCGTATGAAGGTTGACAAGGACGGAGGAAATTATGATAGGATCTCGTTGGGAGAGCATCGACATGACTAGCAGTGTGCAAAGAAGAGCACCTTTTATGCAAATTAACGATAGTTGTATTGTGTTATTTTTTTATGTTATTTAAATTTTTAAGCGTTATGTAAGTAAATATCAAGATTTGAGTGTTAAATATATCAATATAATAATTTTAGGTATTGTGTAGGTAAATCCACACACACAAATCATAGATATATAATTCATGCATCCCAAATCCTAAGAGACGATAAACAAAAACAAAGCTGAAAATTTGGTAAAGAAATTTAGCCAAAACAGAATGAACACCACAAACCATCTTTTCATACTACACAGCATCATCTTTAGTAAAATAACATTGAAATCTTTATTTCGTAGCGAGATGCAAGTTTACAAATTTCACAAGCAACAAAATAATATTGGAAAAATCAAAGGAAAATGTTACAGTAGTAAGGAGATGAGAATCAGAGTATCTGCAGCCTCGTTGTCTATATTATGCTGCAAAAAGACATAAATGAACAGAGATAAGATGAGAAGAGTCCAGAAGCTCACTTCTATAAATGTTTCTCTATGCATGTGTTTAAAGTACTCTCTGGAACAGCTCCAATGACTGCATCTTTCTTCTCTCCGTTCTTAAAGATGATAATGGTTGGGATGCTTCGAATACCATACTGTGTTGCGATGTCTGGGCTTTCATCTGTATTGAGCTTAAAGCATTTCATCTTGCCCTCGTAAATTTTTGAGAGTTTGGCAATAGAAGGAAGTATCATGCGACATGGCCCACACCATGGTGCCCAAAACTCAACCAGCACTGGCTTATCAGACTCCATTACTAGCGATTTCCATGTTTCTTTCGTTACATCAGGAACTGTGATAGCATCAATATGGTAGATATAAGCAAGTATATGTACAAATGAACATGCACATAAAAATATGAATGTACATCATCTTTACATAAAAATGCAGATATTTACACATAAACAAAAATAATAATACATGTGCATAAACATATATATTTATAATTTTAGGCATATATAAATATAATCAAGTCATAGCTGTGCTCCTGTTTGGCTCATTAAATACACGAGTTTATAAAAATTAGTTGAACTCAAGTTAATTACGGGGCTGAACATTATCGAATAAGAACAATGAATTTTTTGCACAGCCGTATCAAAATAGATGCAAACTGCCAGTAGAAGGAAAAAAATTCACATGGTTCCCACGAATTAATTTTATAGTAGCAATCTCAAATATTTTCCTTGATAAATAATCCAGCAACTTAAAAAATTAATCTACAATTTTCTAACACAATAGATCTTCCTATGCAAGAAATGCAAATGCAACCTTACGAAAAAATCAAAGCACTCTTTAAGTTCTAATTTTATATTTGCTTAGGACATTCTGCTCATTCAATGAAAGGCCAAAACTATTAATATTTTGGTCCAGTTATGTTTTAGTTTTAGGTGTACTTTATTTAGGATTTTCCCATTTGTAGCCTTGTAATCTATAAATAAGTTGTAGAAGGCTGTAATAGACAAATCAAGCCAAATAATCAGAATTATGTTCTTTTCAAGACTTGTGCTCTCTCCCTCTCATCCCTTTCCTCCCTCTTTCATTCAAGAACTCCAAGAATCCCAACAAATTAGTATCAGAGCTGGTGAAGGCAACTTCAAGGTGGAGGAAGGTTATTATTCAAGAAAGGAAGAAGAGGAGGCAATCAGAAGCGGATCGTATGGACAGTGTCACGCGAGGAGATGGTTCGCGTAAGATGTGTCTGCACACGGAGAAGAGGTTGAAGCATATCGCATAGAGTCGGATCACCGACGTAGTGTGACACCTGCAGGTTTAGCATCTAGATTGATTTGTTCTGACCCGATCTAAAAATTAGATAAAAACATCATGTTTTTTAAAATTGAGATAGACGTAATATGGTCTACCTCATTATGTCTATCTCGATCTGAACAATATTTTGAACTGAGTCGACCACTAAAAACAACAAAAAATGGCTTAAAAATCATATTTTTCCTCACCGAATCTTCTTCTTGCAGTTTTTTCCAATTAGGTCAGAATGGGTCAATCCAGATGTTGTGACCTACCTCAATCCGAACAATATTCTGAACTGGGCCAACGACTGAAATGACCAAAAAAAGGCTGAAAAATCCTCTTTCTTTCCCACCCGAAATCCTCTTCTTGCAGCTTTTTCAATTGGGTCAAAAAAGGTCAATCCATATGTTGAACCTACAGGCATCACACATAGGCTTGGGGGATCAGGCCAACAGAGTGCCTAGGCTCAGACGGAGTGATCAAGGTAGCACGTGGAAGGGTCATGTGCGGAGTTGGTGTGGGTTTCTTGAGGTGGAGCAGAGAGAGCGTGAGCTGGAACGGGCGGAGTGGAGTAGGACACGGGGCAGATTGCGGGGTGTGGTCAGGGTCGATGTTGCGGGAATGATTGCGGGAGCCTGGTGCTATGCAGATCAGAGCGACAAGCAAGGTCGGGTTCGGAAGTTGGGGATTAGACATGACAGAGGAGGTTTGACTGTGTGGTCTTGGGGTCGAACACAAGCACAGGAAGCACTGACGTATGGGTCTGGCACGCGAGAAGGTTGTTACATGTGTGGAAGCAGGCAAGAGTTAAGGCTCGAGGAAGGTGTTACATCCGTGTCATGCGAGTAGGGCCCAAGGAGCGAATGTTGGAGTTGTCGGCGAAGGGGTGAAGAAAACAGGCACTAAATCTAATCACGAGTTTGTTCATGAGAACGAAAGTAGGGTTGTGGTTTTGCAGCTCGGGTATGATTCTTGTGGTTGAATTTTGGCTGCAAATGAACAAGGCACGACTTTGGTGCTAACGGATTGCAATAACACTATAGAAATTCTTGATTAGAGATCTGTTTAGATCTTTGAGGAGGAGTATAAGCAGCTACGGTTCATGATCATGTTGATGCAAAGATTCAAAATTGACAAATTTACTGGTGAAAATGATTTCAGTTTATGGAGAATCAAAATGAAGGTTCTTCTTGTTCATCTAAGAACTTCTGAGACGATTTCCAGGGAAGATGTCTTTAGGCTTTTCCTATGTGTAACCTTGTAGTCTATAAATAAGTTGTAAAAGGCTGTAATAGACAACCCAAGCCAAATAATCATAATTAAGTTATGTGTTTCCTTTCCTCTCCCCCTCTCCTCCCTTCCCTCCCTCTTTCATTCAAGAACTCGAAGAATCCCAACAAAAACATTTCGTATAAACAAATAATGCAGGGTATAAGGCTTACTGACACTGAAATCTGTAACGATGCATGCAAACTTCTTAGCGCAGTCTATGGAACAAAATTTCACATTTTCAGTTCTGGAAGTGCAAAAACACAAGAATCATATGAACCTTCATGCGAAAGCACAAAACAAACAGAAGTTGATTAGGCCCATTTGGTTAAAAGTTAAAAAATACTGTTTAGAAAATGACAGAAATTTTCTAGTTCTAACAATTGGTTTTCCGTAATTAGAAATCAACGTTGATTTTAGACTTAACAAATTTCCTCAAAATCTCCTCAATGTAATAATTTTATTTTTCAAACACAATATAAATGGAAACAAAAGTCAACCGTCTCCCTTAGAATCAAAATTCTGGCTTCTTGGAAAGCATGGAATCACTTGTTCTTCATGTGGAGCTCATTACACAACGTGAAAGCAAAGCCAAAAACATATTAAAGGAAAATATGAAGTACTAATTTGCATCAACTTAATTTCAGAAGTTAGTAATCACTAACATTTTTATCACATGATTTAGCTTTATGGTGACGGGACAGAAAGAGATCATCAGCCTATTATCCTCCATAGTCAGCAAGGACATTTTATGCTTATTCATTTTATAGCTTCCTCCAAGAAACTAAAGAAGTTTATTATGAACATTATTTTTATCAATGCAACAAGTTCTCATCTTGTAGCTCATGTGCATACACAAAATCAAACCATCTAATCATTGATCTGATAGAAGCAGGAAGGGTCACACACGAAGCAGAAGCCAAGACTTCGCTTGGTGAACCCAACTCCAGAAGAAGATGGCCGAGATAGAGTTTAGGGTTCCTGAAAATCCCTAGGAGGTTCTTTCTCTGCCTTCTTTTTTGTTTTCATGAATCTTTCGAAAGATTTTCCACCTTTGCGATCGGTTAGAGCCCTTGATTCCTCATCCTGGTTCTCTCTAAATAGCAAGAAATCTTGGAATGAACTATTGACTTCTCGTCAATCTTCCTCAAAACCTTTTCTGTTTCTTTTGTTCCCTTCTCGAATAATCTAGCTCATTTTTCTGAGGAAAATGATGTGTTCGCTTAAGAAAATTGGGGATTACATTTGGTTGGCTATTCATTGGGTAAGCGGCTTTATTTTGAAACATTACGTTCGATAATGCTTAAAACCTGGAAGTTGAAAGGTAATCTTACACTTCTCTCTTAAGTGAAGTTTTTTTTCTTAATGAAGTTTTCTTGTCCTGAGAATTACGACTTGGTTTGGTCTAGAGGACCTTAGTTCTTTTTTGAAAAACCATTTATTTTGCAGTTGTGGTTGCCTTTGTTTTGGCCTAAACGAGAGGAGTTTGTCTCTATTTCTACTTGGATTAAAATACCTGATCTACTGTTAGTCTGCTGGACTCCGGAAGGCATTTCAAAGATTTGCTAGTTTAGTTGGTATTCCTTTATCTATGACGCTTTAACGGCAGATCAAGCGAGGCTAACTTTTGCTAGAGTTTGTGTTCTTATTAATAAAGATTCCCCACTTCCAGAGGAAGTAAAAGTTTTTGTTGTTGGTCACATTTTTTCATTAAAAATTATTTATGATTGGAAACCTTCTCCATGTTCCAGATGTGGTTCTCTGGTTCATCCCGTCTCTCTTTGTCCGTATATACCTCATGATCAAAAAGATAAAGAAAGGTCATTATTGAAAATGATAGAGGGAGTAGGACTAGGAAAATTTGGAAGATGTCTTCTCGTTATTCTAAATGTTCTCAACCTCCTAAACCTCAATCTATTCATCCTGATCCGATAATTTCCAAAATACAGGTTCGTTCTGATTCGATTCTTCAATCAGGTTCTAATATAGATATTGTGGAATCGACAAATGTGATAGATTCTAGACAATTTATTTTGTCTTCTGAAAATTTTAACATTAAAGATTCTATTTCTATTCCTGAAAATATTATTTTGGATAATTTAGCTGTGAATTCTTCTGGCTTGAAAGAAGCATTGCTGAATCTCAATTCTCCTTCAGAAGATCCTTCTTCTGATTTATTAGATATCTCTGCTTCAATTTTGAAAATTCCTAGTAATGATGTCTTTTTGAAGGATGCTATTTTGGCTAATAAGTTTTAGGTTTTGCAAAGGCTGAGGATCATTGAGTTGGATCATAGGCTGGTAATGTTGGTGATTCCTTCAAATTAAGGATATTGACTTGTTGAATGATATTGCTAAAGTACAAATTGTTTCTAAGGTTTCTTTAGCTTCTACAAAGTCTACTAGATCAAAAAATGTCAAAAAGGCAGCAAACACTTCTTATAAATAATAATGTTAATACCTAATATTGCTTCTTGGAATGTTAGAGGTTTTCATAATTTAGATAGAGTTAATGCTTGCAAGAAATTTGTTAATAAATTTGATGTTGAATTTTTTTGTATTCTTGAAGCTAAGGTTAATTTAGACCAGGTTAATGATCACTAGTTTATTGCTAAACATAGGATTTGCCTTCAAGAAGGCAATTATCATAATTTTTCTTGCTCATTTCCTAGTAGAATTTGGTTGAAATGGGATGTTTCTCATATTGTTTTTAAGTGCATTATTTCCTCTAAACAATTTATTCATAGTTCCATTGTTTTAGATTCTTCTCTTTATATTTTTATTACTGTGGTGTATGCTGCTAACTAAGTCGTTGATAGAGTTTCTTTTTAACAAGATATTCT